CAAAAATTGAAAAAAAAAACGAAAAAATAACTTTTTAAATTTGAGCCCTGAAGGAATTCAAAACAAAAACTCTATGTTTAAAAGTCACATACATATAGGATTCTTATTCTATTTCACATAATCCGATTTCACATCTACTATGCGGTTTCCAGCACCTACTGGATTCGAAGTGTTTCCTCGCATCAATCACCTACGAAAGCCTACTGCGTATGAGGACCGCTACTGATTGAAGATTTCCATCTTGGTTATGAATGTCGTTAAATGCTGGTCGTGCAATTCTCTCTCGAGCCCTGGGGTAGCAGTGCTACAGGGTTCTTGGGTGAATCTGAGGGGACGAGTGCTACCCAGACAGTCTAGTATCTAGTTCCCAACCTCGAAGAGATGATGCGCTCACTGGATTTGATAGACTAGTAAGAGAGTTGTGTGTAAGGATGAAAACTGACTTGGTACACCAGGCAGGCCACAGCAAGTCATTACGTATGCCAGATATGCATTCAGTTATTGTTGCGAAACTTAGTGAAGTCAAATATATGGCACATTCCTTAGGATCTAACGCTTTACAAAGACCTCTGTGGTTTAAATATATTTAAAATGTTATGTTATGTTGTTTACATGTTATGTTACATAATGTTAATGTTAATGCATATGTTATGCTATGTTATGTAAATGTATGTTTAACTTTTACTTAATGCATATTACCATTCACGCTAAGAATTTCTTTCTGCAAACTTAATGCTGAAAAATAAAAAACCTACCGGAGCCTCTACGAACTTCAGCTGAGAGTACGGAAGAATTGGTACGTAGACCATCTGCCAACGAAATGGAAACGCCAGAGCACATAACGCCTCACTGACGCACATCAGACGAGAATATTCTGAAGCCTCGTGATTTAAACTGAGAGGTTTACCATCACTCTATAGATAATAAATAACCAGTTTTAACTAGATCGGAACAGTTTTGGTACCATTATGTCACGAAATCTTCGGTCCTGTACGCCAATTTGTCGATAGAGACATAATAAAATACTAACTGCGTATACAGTCGTCTCAAGCACTCGATAAATACATTGGCTGACTTTCTATTTGTTTTATCTACAAGATTCTCTTGCTGTGAATAACACCAAATGTTTCTTCATAATAGTTGACTTTTCTAACACGAAATTACCGGCCAATTAGTGTTAGCACTTTGCTTGACATAATCACACTGCACTGGCTGCGACATTCTTCACAGCTTCAAACAACCAGCCTGGTAGTGATTATTGTGAAGGATCTTCGAACTACACTGTCGAGTTTCTCTGGATTCATACAGCTTCCGACACGATGATTCGACAGCGTATAACAGAGCTATGTTAAGCTAGGTCAGTGTACCCCCTTGGACCAACAGATCAACTACCTCCAGAGATCAAGAGAAAGGTGAGTAATTCGCAGTTTGTCTACGAATTCCTCGATCAGATCACAACAATACCAGCTAAAGTCATTAATGTACAAAGCGCAATAGTCACAATTCTCAGATCTTCAAATGCAAGTCGATTTTCCAAACGATTTCCTAAGAACTGGCTTGTTTCTGGTTGATTTGTTGGTTTTTTTCCCGTTTCCTCACAACATTATTATTTCAAAATATTAAAAGCACTAAGCATCCGTTTAATAAAACAATGATCTTGGAAAGAATTCACAGTACTACAAAACCCTTCCATGGTTGATAAAACATTGAAACGCCAGAATATCTCTGCAGGACGTTAGACAACTACGCATAATTTAAAAGAAAGCTACGGAATCTAGAGAAGATCCACTCTTCAGAACTGTTACGTAAATGTAATTAGCTTGATTTTCCGTCCTAAGATTTTGTGAATTAATATGGCTATTCCACTAGCGCCCATTATGCTACGGAATTAAAAAAGGGGATGTTACATCAACTAAACCTTTTCCGTCCCACAAACTCAGCACGATACTTCAATATCACCGTTTGAGAACCAAACTAGCTTCTTTTCTCTGAAGTTCTACTTGTCAAAGGCGAGGAAAAGGGCGGAGCTCTACGCTTAACAGCACCACTGCTGATTTCCTTCAAATTCGATGTCATGAAACAAGAACACGCTCCTCGTTATGCACACTGCAGTTAACCTGCAGAAAATAGAATAATGACCAGTGAACGATTAGCTTGTGCTTGGACCTGCTTTTCCTGTTATTCTGCAAGTTTTGAAGACAGAATAATCTCGCATTAAAAAAAGGACCCCGGCTCAGCTCAATATTATTTGACAAAAAGGATTTAATTGAAGCGACGTAACAGATTCGAATACAGACAGGCCTATAGAAATCCCCTATCAGTACCAGCTGCACCTTTTTCTAGACATTATTCGAGAAAGCATTTGAATGTATTGAAGCTCATCGAGATTAGTTACACACAGAGACTCTAGCAAATAGGTAACGCAACTGCGCAGATAACATGCATGTACATAATTAGCATCCTCATATAAAAAACGACTAGAAAAATGAAAAGAAAATTGTGGAAAAGTTCAACCTCATAAATCAATGAGAGCTGAGACCCTTTAAGTGCAGAAACTATCAATTTCCTATCAAACTTCTCCATTTTATTGTACTCTTTATACGATATCAGTGAAGAACAGATAACATTCTACATACTCAAGAAACGGAAAAAAATCATTGAAAGTTAGCGCGAAAGCATTAAGTTAAAAAATGAACTTGGTAATAAACTTAAATGTGTCTAGGACGTTCATAAGCCAACTAAAAAAAGCAAACCACCAAGCAACCTACTCAACTCAACGGTTTTTCCCGAGTCCGACTGAAGATGAGACTTGGCAATATTACCGAAGACCTTCGACTAGATCTGCGGACCTATATCACGCACTCACTTTATTTATAACGGGAGCCATCCATTAAGGAATAATACTTTCAGAACATAAAAGGGACGCACTACTTCTATTGGCGACGATCGCAATAGAATGAAACTTTAGAATTACCAATTATATTTTGAGTCGTTAGTGCGTCCACGGTAATTCTAGATCAAATGCTAATATCATCGGGTAAAACGAATACCGAAAAGGAACGACTAAGTTTGACATGGAGATCGTTTGTTATCATATGAGGATAATACAATACTCACTATAATAAAGCTGTAACCTACCTCGAACCTCTGGACGATTCAGAATGAAAGTGTGTGCAATCAATAGATAATTACCGAAAAATAGTACAGATGTAGTTGTAATCTAGGATTGGTCAGAGTCTGATAAACAAGCTTACTCCGTTATGTACTAACGCCGATACGGCCTTTCCTCCAGCAAATTACCAAATAGCTTTCCGTAATCAGGAAAGGGAATTTCCAGACTCCCAGCAAGCAACTAGGGTGCATGAAATGTGTCGCAAACAATTGAACTCCTAAGAGAGTCCATTGTAGTTGGTACTCATGTGAGTCCAAAACAGGGAATCATTTCCGCAAATACTAGAATGTTTCCATAGTCTATTCTGACAGCTTTCACACTCCCAAAACAATATAGTCTCTGAGGCTATAGTTCCTTAAGCATCAACCTGTTACCGCTTGTTTCCAATTTTAACAAAATTAAAACCAACCCTAGCTAAGCCATGTGCTATCGATATTTTGTGGTTCATTTCCTTTCGATGAATGAAAATACGAACTACGCACAGGATCCTCAAAAAATATAAGGTTTTGGGAACCTTCTTCCACAAGTATTTTCTTCCCTATTTTATCCAAAACCATTCTGCAACACACAACAACTACATTAATTTGATAATTGTTGTTCAATGTGTTACACCTTCTCTTTATTGCCGCCTCAGAGAGTTTAAGAGTTGGGTCTTTCCAGTGCATCAATGGATCTCACGCTTCCTCACGTGGGTAATTAAATGTTGCATGAAATCTGAATCTCCTTATACTCTGATGGATTTTACACATTCCTAAACGGTGACAAAACACAGAATTTTTTGTTGAGAATGATAAAGCGAACCCTTTCCTTAGAGAAGATTGTGAATACAGAACAACGAAATGAGAAACGAAGTGAAATGAGTTTATCTGAGTGGAAAGAAGTGTGTAATCAATGGTCAAATGGAAAACGTGTGCTATTCGGATTCCCTCATCACAACTTTCGTTACGACCACCGAACACAAATGGATCTATGTCGAATCCACTACTTATTCTTAACCTTTTGATTTACTGTCTATTCTTTTTAACGCCAGGGTATTTTGCGAAATATAACTATTGTAATGCTGAGATATTTGCAAAACTCCGGACCGCAGGTATCTGCGGTGGGGAACGAACGCGCTATTGTCATTTCCAGGGAGTATCGCGTTTCACCACCACACCATGCGGGTCCTTCGTTTCGCCTGTCTTTCAGTTAGTTCTATCGACCTTTTGCCATCAGCAATCACCCGTCAGCGGGATTGATCTGGAGAGCTCAAATCGCCGACACCTGCGGTCCGGAGTTTTGCAAATATCTCAGCATCGTTGAAGTTATATTTCGCATTATACCCTGCCATTGAAAATAGTAGGCAGTAAGTAAAACGATTAAGATTGTGATTATAACTAAAGCTTCAGCTTAACTGGGTTCGTTGCCGATTTGGGCTCCCCAGACCAATCACGCTGACGGGTGCTAACGGCAAACGATCAATCGATAGAACTAGCTGAGAGGCAGGCGAAACGAAGAACTCGCATGGTGTGGTGGTGAAGTGCGCTACTCGCCGGTAAGGACAATAGCGCGTTCGTTCCCCACCGCAGACACCTACGGTCCGGAGTTTTGCAAATATCTCAGCATTACAACAGTTATATTTCGCAAAACACCACTAATTATTGTTCGCCCATCTCTACCTTATGGACTTGTTGTAAATTTGCGGATGTGAGAGATTTTTGGTGAATGCATGAAATTTCGCGTCTACTTACGGAAGTGGAAATTGCGAAACATTGGCACATCAAAACCTTGGACTAACCTTTCGAACAGAGAAGAATTTGGTGTTCAAGTAGAAAACAAGCAAATAATCTCAAGAACTTCTCCACGGAGATATACTATAACAAGAAATATTGGGAGCTAACAGTACAGCGAGAAAAGCCACATACTGCAGATAATCTTGGCACCATACCTGAAACATCGCTCCCAAGGAGTCGTCAAATATTGGCAATTCTCGTAAGCCTGGTCTTTGTACAAGGATTGTGGAGTTTAACATCGCGACCTTAAAAATCTCGTTTCAGTTCCAGCCAATAAGACAAACTAAATTGGGTAGAAAAAACTCTAGTCACCTTTAATGTGGTGCCAGGAGATGGGAGTGGTATTTCGTTAAGGATCCAGTAGATATAACTTTCAAGAGGCAAAACAGGTTCAGTGCTGCTCACAAGCACTTCATGCAGTTTTCTCAGAATTGTAGTTGTTGAGCACACCAATGGAAGCCGAGTGATTAAGCATAAAGCTTTACTCCTGAGAGAAAATAGGACGATAGTGCACTATACAGTATAAAATTTTAATTTAAAGAGTTAAGCACAATGAGATCTACTTACATTAAGTTGGTTTCGAATTGAAAATAGAACGTACATAAATAATGTGTTCTGACCACTCCCGTCATAGTAAGAGATCCGTTTAGTCTTATTTCTCCGGCCACGTGGTAAAGTATGGGTTCCACCTATAGGATAAACTACAAGGAATACAAAAGGGTGCTATATCGTCAATCGTGATTTGAACTAATGAAACCAAAACACCACAGTCAATGTGTACATAGCATACCTGACACTGTTCCAGGTGGAACGTGTGCTCGCTCACGATCAAATGATGGTTCTTCAGCTGTAAGTTTACGTACGTGGTCGGTATGCAATAACGACATCGACTCACAGATCCTAGAATCTCGGACTTCCTAAAAAAAGTACTAGAAATCTTAAATAGACTTTTCAGCGTTATTTCATGTAATATGATTCCATTGAGGGGCGCATATAGCGCAGTGGTCGACGACGTCCTGAAATACAGGTGGGATCAAGCCCTGAGCTCCGAGCTCACCAGGACTTCTATCCCTCTGAGGTGGGCAAACTTGTCTTGGAGAATAGCAGCACTGGCTCGATACATCGGTAGGCCACCGCGAGTCATTGTGAAGGCCAGATATACATTCAATCACCTCCAACGATGTTTAACGAAGTCGAATGCATGGCGCATCCTTCAGTCAACGCCGACAGCTTCACCTATCTATCCATGCTTCCACTATACAAGCAACCGTTGACCTAGAAAGCCTACACGGATGTGAAAACACGTCTTAATAGGTGGAGGATTACGACACTGATCTACCGGAATTTCGGAGAAAACGATATGAGGGATTTATCAACTAACAGAAAATTTCCAAGCGTCTTATTTAAAAATTATAGAAACCAACGCGGCAAAAGAAACACGGAAGAAAGAAAACAAACACGTTTCCCTAAACAGAAAGCCGGCAAAATGCAGTTGCATTCTATTAATGTAGGAGATCGCAGTCCCAACGGTTTGCCGCCTCATCGTGGCTGGGAGGTGTTCCTGGGTGCCAGGTTGCGATGTACAGCGGGGAAATTCGTCTTCCCGATAGGGTCTCCCGAACTGAGGAGTCCGGCGCTTCCATCAGGAAGTCCAGATAAGAGTAAGCCAGTACCAGGATCCACCACCGTCCTGGTATCAAACTAGTCGCATGGTAGTAAATCTCCGTCTGATCCACAAGGGCGGCGACTGCCTGTGGTGGTGACGACATGGGGTGGGCTTTGGCTAGGCTAACCTCGGGACTCCAAGGAGCCACAGTATTTAAGCCAGCAAAACTCCGAAAAAAAAGAAATTATGCTGGGGCCCACACGACCAGTGAATACGAGTTATCCAAGTATCCAAGTAAGTAAGATTGAAGCTGATCTATCCTAACTAGTTTGGGTTCAGAACAAGAAGGAATCAAAAATCTATTAACAGAGAGGGGGACACCAGAATGGAAACCGTGCTTACGAATAATTTAGAAGCGTTCACATTCCATATCTCGTTACATTCGTGAAGCTATTTATTGTATGGAATCTCAGTAGTAAGTAAGAATAAAGGATAAAGGTCTCGATGTTGGTCAATCCTTAAGGAATGCACCATGCATTTAAGTTCATCGAGCATCGTTGGAGGTGACTGAATGCATATATGGTCTACATAATGACTCCCAGTGGCTTACTGTTGTACTCAGTCAGTATTGCTATCCTCTCAGACAGGACTGGTAGCAATTTGCCGACCCCGGAGGGATAGGGGCTGGGGTGCGGGATCGAACCCATGTGTATCGCAGAGCATTTTTAAGCACTTCGCTACCCGCACCCTCTCCATAGCAAGTAGCAGCCATAAACAAACAAAACCACAGAACAACTTGGAATGTGAAAAATTTCAATGATGTAAATCGAATGATGACAAGAACATCTTCCGATCTTACGCAAAACATACCTCGTAAAAGGTTAAGACAGTTCCGTTAATCCGACTACCATCCTCTCGAATGTTTGCGAATGTATGTAGTGTTATATTTAACGGAACATTTTTCTCCGTAAAAAATCGAAGACCCTTTGGCATACATAGCTGCAAGTAGACAGCGATAACATATCACCAGCAACTCTTCATAAGTGATCGCTGGGGAAAGAAGAAAAGACAGCTGATATCACATCATCAATCAGACATACCGATAGCACATCGTTGGAAAACTGTGCTCCTACTCGTTTCTGTGGGAAATGATGTAAGATTTTGGCTACGAACGAGCGCTCCAGAGGTGGTTTACAACCCTTCGAGTCAGGTGTTCGCTTATTCTCTCCCCATACACAAGTTTCACATGAGGTGTCCACCTAAGGTTCAAGTAATATGATTTTCATAAACATCAAGTAAACATAGACTTCATGTTCCTGATATGGGCAAAGTAATCTAAACGCCAAAACGAAAAGAAACGGCACAGATAGAACAGCGGGTTCTTCGAGTAGCACTTACCACTAATCCAGTGTCCGGATCGTATCCAGCAACCACAAAATAATCAACAAGAGTCGTTTCCACGTTCTCTTTCCGAGTGGCCATTACTTCGGTGACTTTTAGGTGAGGTATCCCTCCTTGAAATCATGCCTCCAACTCATGGCATTGCACCTTGAAATAGATTTATTGTGAAATCTCAGGGAATCTCAACGATTTGAAGTGCTAGAAATGTCATAAAACGATAAGGATCACATTTGCACACTAAATCAAGCACGATTACAACTACAGTGACGTTGAGATATTTGCAAAACTCCGAATGGCAGGTGTCTGCGGTGGGATCGAACACGATATTACCCCTTCTACGGGCTAACCTGTTCACCAACACACCACACGGGTCCTTCGTTACGCTTTTCTCTCATTTATCAAAAATAATACATCTAAAGCCAGAAAAAAGCCTTGTTCAACAACTACTATCATGAACTCGACAGAAGATGGAACTAAAGAAGAGGTATGCGCAGTAATAACATGTATTCACAGAACAATTGTGTTTTAAAAAAACGCAGCCTCCAGCTAGGAATAACCTTGTTCTAGTACTTCTAACGACTTTACCTACTTTACTTTAACGACTACTTTTAATAATCTAAACCTAAAACCAGAAAATAGCGCGTTCACACCCAATAATCAATGGAATGTGATAGATCGAGAACAGTGCCAACTCACCGAATACACGCCAACGGATGCGTTGACGCGTTTAGGAGTTCCGTCTTCGTGTTCTTTAACGCTATCAGTTAGGATGATAAGTACAGATCCAGAATAATCGACTAAGTAAGTGATCACAAGAAAGCTTCATTTTAACCTCTGGAGATTGGTTGTGAATGGAAGCACGTCTTCGACCACTCAACGAAGACCACCTGAACGAGATATCAGCATTTGTTGGTCAGGAGGATAAAGAATCAGTACAGAAGCCACCAATCATGCATGGGCAAGTGAATTCCGACTAGATATTGGAGATCGGTCAGATTCAGATTTATTGAAATTCAGCTTTGACGGTAAACTCGACGATAGTCTGTGTAATCCTATAATTGGAGAAGACGTCTTCATCAGTGAGCCGCATTACTGCTCGAGTTAGTTCTCTCTGTAAAAAAAAAACTTCCAATGCGTCCTTAAAGTCCCTTACAGTTTTTGGTAAACATCTAGATTTGTTCACTCTTGAATATCGTCCCATAGCTCAGTAGTAATAGTAATAATAATGATAACACCAATAATATTAATAATAGTAGTAGTAATACTTACTTGATACTTGGACGGCCCGTCCTCACTAGTTGTGCGGGCCCCAGCATAACCACCACTTTTCGGAGATTTGTTGGTTACGCTATTGTGGTTCCCTGGAATCCCGAGGACAGTCTGGCCAATGTTTGCCCCAGGTCGTCATCATGATAGGCAGTCGCAGCTGGTTTACTCTTAGCTAAGCTTCCTGATGGAAACGCCGGACTCCTTCTCAGCTTGGGAGACTCTGCCGGGGGACGAATCCCCTCGGTGTACATCGCAGTCCGACACCCAGGAACGTCTCCCAGCCATTATGAGGCGGTAAACCGTTGGGAGGAATGATAGTAATAGTAATAGTAATAGTAATAAAAACAACAATAACAATAATCAGTAATTAGAACACTTCTGGAGGTTTTTGGGTCTCTTGAGCCTACTTCAGCAGAATATCTTCGAATTATCACTTCACCTGTACCACCTCTTATCTCGTGGATGGTCTAACGACTCAAGCGGGCGGCAGTAAATCTTTTTTTCCCTGTTGCATTCAAGAGTAGCCCAATGGGTTCTGCTCGCTCTAGAGACTTGTCGAGAATCATATCTTTCTTCTAAGGTTCTCGTGAGGAACTCTGATCATCGAGTCGGTGGTCTTCCCGCAGTACGTTTGACACCCGTGGAATCCAGTCACTAATGACTCTTGTCCATCGGTAGTAGTTCATACGCATTACGTGCCCAGCCCACCTTATATTCGACTGCTTGGCGTATAGAATGGCGTTCGAAATTTTCGATCGTTGATGCAAGTCGCGTTCACGGATCTCTACCACAGAGGGATCCACCTCAGGTTAGTCGAGTGGCAAGGTAGCGCGTCTCCAGGTGGCGGAGAGGCGGTTAATGGCGGGCCTAAAGTGACCTTTGCTACCCTGAGACGCAGGTGGATCCCGGAGATGGACTCCCTGTCCCTACTGCGCCAATTTGGCACATGCTTTATATATTTAAAAGGGCGTATTCATGCATACATTTTTCGTTGCGTTCTCGCTTATGCGGATTGTATTCTACGAGTTAAACCGGCCAAAAGCTTGCAATCAAACGGCGGGGAAGTATATGGGAGGCGGTTAGGAGTCGCCTCCAAGAAATAAGCTAACTGTAAGAGAGTGGCAAGCTATCCATGAGTATACCCAGTCCTCACGTTTAGAGCCCAGCATGCTATACGTGATTATAAAAAACCTAAGCACTAAAGTAGATGGGCCTCATTCCTCTGATCCCGAAAGAGCCACCGATTCGGCAGAGTTGGCTAGGACGAGGATGGACAGGCTTTTAAAATCACAGGGCCATTCTAAGGTGCCTGCGTCTCAAAGGATTAAGGCGACGGTCTGTACCTACAACGCACGCACACTTGCATCTAAGTCCTCAACTGAAGACTTGACCATGCAAAAAAGAAGGATAATGTGCGACGTCATCGGAGTGGCCGAGACGAGAAGACGCCAACCGTTCAATGCCGTCTATCACACCGGAGAAGAACTGTTCCTCGGTATATGCGACGCTATAGTAGAGCAGTCAGCGGCGTCGGCGTTCTCGTCAACACGAGTATGGCCACGAACATCGATTTATTAAAACAACTAACAACCCGAATCGGACGTTTACCATTGAAGATATGTGGATCAATACCGGTTCTGACAATCTTCGTCGTTTACGCGCCGATGTCGAACTGTGACGAAGAACTCGAAGGCGTTCTATATGGACTTGGAGAAGTTCAACAAAGAAGCCCATACATTTTTCAACGTCATCAATGGAGATTTTAACGCTAAGATTGGTCCCAGAAGAACGTTTGAAGAGGGCTACATTGAGAGGCTCGGATCAAAATGGAACGAGCAGGGTTATCGGTCTTCCTAAGTTTATTATGACGACCAAGAGCATTCATGATCAGTCGCAATTCCTGAAGCCCCACACTCGAAGTTGCACGTGGGAGCCTTCCAACAGAGAGTACCATAACAAAATAGACCACGTCATGGTAAATCGAAGATTTTACCTAACCGATTCCCATGCTGTCCCAAAATTCAACACGGGATCAGACCATCGCCTCCATCGAGCAAGATTCCATTTCACGCGTAGAGAAGAAAAAACGAGGTTCTAAAACCACCATAAACAGGGATTTGTACAATTCAGTAGTCCGCTGATACTTTTCTCGATAACATCGACAAGGAATACGATCGGCTCATTCAACATCTTCATGTTAGCGCTGTGAAAGTCCTCACGTCGGCGCTCTGAAAGCCGAGAGCGCGAAAGTCACCAAGAGACGTCTACCTCCAAAAACACTCGAGCTGATACGGCCAGCGTGGAACCGCATGAGCTCTGAAATTCGACATGGTATTTTATTGGTGGAAAATTGAACAGAAACAGGTTCGGGCAGAATAAAATCTGAACACCTGAACAACCTTCCCACCACTCCTAATAAACACACTGGCTCTGCTCTTCACACACTACCACCCTGAACGCAAGGCTACCATTTAGTGGAAGACCAGCAAAATCGCGCTATTTTTCAAGAAGGGTGACCATCACGATATCGGCAGCAATCACACAATATGCTTGCTGTCTGTCGTCTACAAGCTTTTCACTGGAGTCATCCTAAACAGGATTCACAGAACACTGGACGAAGGGCAGCCATGTGAGCAAGCATGATTTTGAAGAGGATTCAGTGCGATGGACCACATCTACACGATAACAAGACAGTGAGGTATCGCGAGAGTACAAAAGACCGCTCTGTCTCACTTTCATCGATTTGAAGAAGGGTGTTGACTCGGTAGAGATAGAAGTAGTTATGTAAGTCGTGGACAGCCAGAGTCCCTACTCAGCATATAAAGATTTTTTATGAGCTATACAAAACTTTACAACCAAGAGATTCTACAACGATATTAACATCGACGTCAAAAGATGGATTAGGCACGGCGATACCATCTCGCCAAAATTTTTTACCGCCACACTCCAGAACTTTATGCGAACACTGGTATGGGACAAAATGGGAGTGAAAACCGCTGGTCGGCAATTATACAGTTCTCGCTTTGCTGACGATATCGTTCTTACAACACCAAATATTAGCAAGAAAGGACGAATGCTTGGCGACTTTGATAAAGCCTGTGGAAAAATTGGTCTTCGCCTAAATCTCACAAAAGCGATGTTCATGAAGAATTGATTGGTTACGTATGTCCATTCAAGCTCAACGGAATGAGTATCTCCGAATGTTCTAGTTGCGCCTATCTAGGGAAATCAACATGATGAGCGATTTAGCTCCAGGGTTGAGCAGGAGGAAACGAGCAACTTGGGAGGATTCCAAAGCATCGAAAGTGTAGTGAAGAGAAAAGAGACCATCCGGTTTGGTGCCCACCTTTTCGACTCAATGGTACTTCCTGCCTTAACGCATGCGTCAGAAACCTGGTAGCTGCGTAAGCATGATGAAAGATCACTCAGCGTTAGTGAACGCGCAGTCGAAAGGACGGTGCTAGGAGTATCACATGTCACACAGATAAAGGAAAGGATCCGAAGCCTCGACCTGTGTCAACGATGAAAAATCAAAGATACTGTTCTATACCCCAAACAGTCGAAGATAAGATGGTCGAGACACGTAATGCGTAGGAACGACAACCGATGGGTAAAAGCCGTTAGCGTCTGGATTCTTTGAGACGTCAAACGCAGTGCAGGCGGACCACCAACGCGGTAATCAGAGTTCTTCACATAAAGCGTAGAGGAAAGATATGATGCTCAACGAGTCGCCAGAGCAAGCAGAACCCACTTGACTGTCCTTTCATCCTACTTACATAGCAAGCAGGTATCTAACGGATACGTTAAGGCAGGAGGAATGGGAGAGTCGAAATGGTGGGCAC